AGATACCAATAATTAAAAACTTTTATCTAGCTTTCAATCATATGCTTGTTATCTTCAAATAAACTGCTATTCATACATCTTTTTCACGGGAGGGGGGGTTTTTTTATGTACCCGGTCCTTAAAATCATTATACTAAAGATTGAGATATAAGATAATCAAGAAGAAGATCACAATAGTTATAATGACAATACCAATAGTATTTCATGTGTCATACTGAATTTGATATTTTCTTTGCCCAAACCAAAAAAAAAAAAAAAAAAAAAAAAAAAAAACATGAAAAAAGTACTCCTTTAATATTCCATAACCCATATTCACTCAACTAAGACTTACCTGACAAACTTTTGCTATTTAATGGAAAATATTTGAATAATTATTTTTTTTAATAGTCAGTATCTCATTTGAATGCTTGAATTTCTAGTTTGCAAATGAATATGTCAATATTTATAGTCGTGATAGTCACTACCATGTACCACTACTTAACCATAACCAAAACCAAAACTAAAACAATATACCCTGGATTATATTTTTAAAACTTTGTCACTACCAAGAAAAAAAAAAATGAAAATTAGTATTATATATTTCTGGTAAAAAGAATAGATATTTTTTTGAAATTTTGTTTTTTTTTTTTTTTTCTCAATACAGTTTTGGAATAAAAGTCATCTAATTAAAGTCTGTAATTGCAAATATTTTATTACAACTCTCAATCTATTATAGATGAACTGAATTATATACTAGTTAGTATTAAGAATAAGATTGACCAGGTGCTCGTTTGTTTTTTTTTTTTTTTTTCTAAAAAATTAGACATTTATAGTTTACAAATCAAATGAATGTAGTAGACAAGCAACTCTAAAAAAAAAAAAAAATTGGTTTAAACTATTACAAATTGATGAACCTCTTTTCAGTATATTTTTATATTAAGATAAGTTTGAGTAATAATAAATTCCATGTTTTAGAAAATATTTGTATATTATTATTTAACTTTGTTATTATTTAACTTTGTTGTAATAAAAAATATGGTTTACTAAAACACTTTCTACAATTAAGATCTTGAGAAATTAAAATATTCTCAATCAGTTTTAAATTATATGTATTTTTATTTTGTTTTAATAATAATCTGCAAATATGTGGTAATAGTGATGTTGTACATATTTTATTGTTAATCAAAATAGTGAAGAGAAAGCTTGTTTTTTACAAAAAAAAAAAAAAAAAAAACTTCCTTTAGAAAGAGCACTCCATTCTACTGTTTAGTATTTTTTTTATTATTATTATTATTATCAAACTACAAAATGGATATTATAACCCTTTATCAACTAAAGTCCAATACTCTATTTCAAAATACCTTAAATCTTATGTCTTCAAATCTCTAAGCTAATTCAAATTTCCTTTTCAAGCATATATTCAATTTTTTTTTTTTAATCCATAAAGACTACATCAATGAATATTAAAAAGTCTGAGAATATACAAAATATATTATTGCAACTATTTTTTTAAAAAAAAAAAAACAATAATGATAAATTCTTTTAAATATTTATGATTCTAGATTCCTATTAAAATTTTTCAGTTTATATATATATATGTATATATATATATATATTCAAAACTTTAGTAAAGTTATTGCAAAAAAAAAAAAAAAAAAAAAAAAAAAAAAAATAGAGATACTCTGTGTTTGAGTTGTGGCAGTACATGAAGTACAATAATTTCAGGCCAGGAGGTCCCAGTGTGGAGTTATTTTTTTTTTTTTTTTTTCAATTTGGAAAACCATTGGTAAGTAAATCTCTTCTAAAGACAGATTTGATAAAGAAAACTATTGAAATCTGAGATTAAACAAAGTTATGGAGGGGGGTTTTTCTTGGTTTACAGTACAACTGGTAATGTAAGACTACTATTGTAAGAGATGAGAAAAAAAATGAAAGGGACGTGTAAAATGGAGTCTAAGTTATTTAAACCTATTATTATTATTATTTGATTGTCGATATATATATTTTTTTCTGGGGTTTAAAAGTTGGTTATTCAAGTTTTTTTGGTAGTAAATTATTGGGGAGAAGAAAAGAATTGCAATTGATGTATCTATATATATATATATATATATATATATACTGTAGCTTATTTGTATATAGTTATTTCTATAATGTTATCAATAGAAAAAAAAATAAAAATAAAGAAAGAAGAAGATTATTTGATTAATATCTGTTTTGATATTTTAATTAATTCATATTAAGTATTCTTATGTAAGTATTTTTTTTTTATTTTTTGAGGGAAAAAAATGTTTTCATTTATCTTTATTTTAATATTTAAAGCCAATTTCCTATTTTTTTTTTCAGTTTTTTTTTTTTCATTTTTTACTTCAAACTTGGCTTTATTTATTTAATCTTTCTTTAAGTTTTATTTCTTTTCATTCTTGGTCTTTTTTTTTTTTTTTGATAGTTTCATTTATTTATTTATTCACTTATTTATTTATTTATTTAAAAAAAAAAACATTGTATTTATAGTTATATCAACTTGTGATTTCTTTTTTTTTTTATCTCTCTCTCTCTCTCTCTTCTACGCCCTCCTTTTTGTTTTTTTATTTTTTATTTTATTTTTATCAATCTTTCGTTGAAACCCGTTTTAGGAAATTTAATTTAATTTAATTTAATTTAGTGGTTTTTTTTGTTTTTTTTTTATCTCTACAGCCTCATTTTTCTAATTCCACTAATTTGTGGCTAGTATAAATAAATAAATAAATATATCTATCTATCTATGTCTGCTACAATTTATATTTATTTTAAAAAAAAAAAAAATAACCTCATTTGAAACTATCTGTTTAATATTTATATATATACTAATCATGGAACGAGCTATTTCAATCGTTAAAATTCCAAAAAAAAAAAAGGAGGGGATTCTTTGTTAATTGATATTAATAAGTTTAGATATATATATATACATTTTTTTTTTTTCATCATGATATTAATACTTTTTTTTTTTTTGAAAGATTCCTCACTTGACAAGGGAATATCTAGATCATCATCATCATCATCATCTACATTGTATCTAGTAATAATTCTCATCATGGGAATTTTTTTTTTCTTTTTTTTAGTAAAAAAAAAAAAAAAAAAAAAAAAAGAAGAAATCCTAAAAACCCCCTGGTAAACATGGGATCCCTATTTTTATATAAAAAAACACAAATAATAACAATTTATTTTATTTCTTTTTTTTTTTTTTTTTGAAATTCTTATAAATCAAATATATATATGTATAATAATAATAATAATAATAATAATAATAATAATAAAAGAAAAAAAAATTTTTTTTTTGAGGGGATGATAATGACACTTTTAACCATATTTATTTTATTTATTTTTTTTTATTTTTTTTTTTTTTGTCCCTCTTTCCTCCTTTTTATTGACTTCAAAACAATTATACTCCATCACTCATCATCTTTAATCAAATCATAGCATGCCATACTCACGGAGTGCTGTTTGAATAACTTCGTCTGTAACTGCACCAATTACAAACTTCATTGAACTAGTATCAGTAGCACATGTAGGATATGGATATATGGCTCTTCGTGGATTTTTGTTTTGGGCCAAAAATAAATTTTGAAAGTATTGACACGCCTCAGAGGCACTTAAAGGATTCCCAGTATAGTTTTTAAAATACTTGGTGATGGGTGAAATAGGTAGCTTTTCCTCCAGCTTATCAATCTTGTTAAGAAACAAAATTATAGAAGTATTACTAAACCAACGTGAATTGCAAATAGATTCAAATAGTAATAATGCCTCAGCCATACGGTTCATAGTAGCATCTTCAAACAACACCTCATCATATTCACTGACAGCAGCCACAAAAATAATGGCCGTGACGTCGTCAAAACAGTGGATCCATTTACGGCGCTCACTACGCTGGCCACCAACATCAATAATTTGAAAGGCACGGTTATTGATTGTGAGGTTTGTTTCGTTGATACCTGTTGTTTTGATGCGGCCCTTTAAAATGTCCTCGTCTGTAGCCCTGTACCTAAGCTTGCAGTAGTTGAAAATATTTTCAAAATAGTATGCAGCATTGACTTCCAGCTGGAACTGATTAGCACGTTTAAAACACTCCCGAATACCCCGGTCATTTTTCCACAGTTTGCTAATGGCTGTTGCAACCTGTTGCTTTGTTGGTTTTGCTGGTGGATGCTGTTTCATTTTCTGAGTTTGAAGGTCCTCCCCTTCGACATCTTCTAAAAGACCTTGGTGCTCGTCAAACTCATTGTAGGCGCTGTTGAGTGCCGTTTGTTGTTGTTGCTGTTGTTGCTGTTGTTGCTGTTGTTGCTGTTGTTGCTGTTGCTGTTTCAGCCTTTGGTCCAAAGGCGACCTACCCTTTCTATTGTCGTACTTTAGCACGTAGTCATCCAAGTAGTTTCGTGATGCGGCATTGTTAGGGGTCCCAGACGCATTGGTGGCATTGTTGATGTGGGTGACATCTTCATCATATTGTTGCGTAGGGTCTGTTTCCATGACTAGCTTATTGAATTCGTAAAGAGGTGAATCTGGGTTAGTTGAGTCTAGAGGGATGTTGAGATCCTTTGCAGCTGTGATAAGAATACGCATACAATGAACAGCGTCGCTCCAAATGACTCCTGTATACTGGATACGTTCACGGTCAGTGAAGCCAGTACCATGAAGGAGTCTAATCTGTTTAATGACAGTGGACTTCCCAGACTCTCCAGCACCTAGCATGAGTAGCTTAATTGTTTTCATTGCGCGATTATGTGTGAGAGAAAGTCCAGCTTCAATCTGGTTATTGCGTGCTTGGATCCATTGTTTTCGTTCTTGGAATCGTTTACGAGCAGCAGCTGCTGATAAAGCTGCATTATTGTTGTTATTGCTACCCATAGATATTGATGAAGTCATAGGAGCATGTGCAGCAGCGGTTGGGGTCGATGGTAAGGTTGTGGATGCTATTGAAGAAGTGTGGGCAATGACACTTGTATTTGTAGCGGAGAGGTTGTTTTTAGTTGACGTCGTTGTTGTTGT